CTTGTCGTGAAGTTGTGATTGGTGCAACACGAACTGCCTACTGTGATTGTCTATTGGGTTATCGTAGCGTCAAATGTGATGATCGTATTTATTGATATTTCTTTTTAATAAACCATAACAAAAAAATTCTGTTCTCTAGGATATTTTAGTTGTTCTGCTCCTGGCAAATTTCGTGACAATGAGATGCATGACCAAGGAAAATATTTCGAATGCTTGGACAGGAACGGATGTAAGATAGTCAGAAAAATTGTTTTGTTTTTTTTTTCGTATATTAATAACTTTTATTTTCATTAACAGCAGTACGACTAGAACGAAGATCCTGTGCCAAAGGACTTCGTTTCAATACTAGCACACAAGATTGTACTGGTTAAGAAATCAATTTCAGTGCACAATTTTCTTTTGTGGAACAATCAATTCTTCTTTTTGAACTTTTCTGAAATTTTCTTAATATATCAATAAAATGAATTGAATCCTTTATTCTTGTTGTAAATTCTTCACAGTATAGAGTGAATATATTGATTTTATAGAGAAGAACGAAAAATCCCGTTGTATAAAAACAGATTAACAGAAATTTTTATAGATTCAAATTTCGAGAGTATGATAATCTTTTTAATTTTCATACTTCAAGAATGATTTACAAAAAATTCAGATTATTTCATATTATTGCAAGAGATTTACAGATATTATGTTGGTCATATTTTTCTTTTTCTACTTCTATTTGATTTATTTCTTGAAATAGTAATATTTCTGTACTATATACTAATACTTGAAACAGATGAAAGAAAAGAATACTAACTGTAACAAAGCAAAATCAATTATAAATTTAAAGATTTTTACAATAGTAAAGAAGATTTCAAGAATTGAAGTTAATATGAACGAGATCATTTGTGGTTTTTATTTCGTCCCTGATTACATCTATGTGTGAATTAAACTTGTCTATTCCTTATAATACTAATAACGATAGAATACGTTCTTGTTCACTGTCTTTACCAACATTGTGAAGATGTGTTACAAGAAAAACGTTTTCACTTATTTTTCGCACATAAATTCAATAAACACGAAATATACTGTAAAATAATGAATTTTATTTCAAAAAATAAACAAACAATTGTCTCTACTCTTCTACATAGATTTCTTGAATGCTTTACATACCGTTGAATTTTTATTGTCATTTCAGTGAAGATTTGAATACATTTGCAGATATAAAAAAAAAGTCATAGAATGGTTCATCAATAAAAACAAAAAATAAAAATAAAAATAAAAATTGAAATGAATAAAATTAATTTTTTCAATAATTAAATTGATGTAATCAGATAATTGTTTTCTATTTTATTTCAATCGTAAAAGTTATATTATTTCGTTTTCGTTTTGAAATAATTATACATTTATTTCAATAGTTCATTTCAATATAAGATTGAAACATTATTAAATGTTTTACAATATGATAGATGTGAAAAATCTCGATCATTTGTTACTAGATAATTACTAAAGAAGAAAAAAACCAAATTTTTTAAATGATATTATCAGCTGAAAATCTTATTTCCTAAATATACTCGAATCAAGTTCAGATAATGAAGCAGAGATGAACAAGACAATGTCAGACATATTTTTGCAACTAAAATGCATATTAGATTCACATTACGTAAAATTACACTTTTCGTTCTTATATGGAAAATCTAATGATGCTTAGTGGTTTGTTTGCTATTGGGAATTTATGTTACTGGATTAATCCATTGTTTACCAATTGGATTTTTAAATTCTGAATTCTGTTGGTAAGAATTCTGCAGCCCCTCTTTCAATTTTGCATAGAATTCTGTATTAACGTAGAATTCTGTTGCTTTTTAAATTCAGAGCAGAATTCTGATGTTGTATCAGAATTTTGTAGACTTGTACATTTTTTTAATATGTAATAATGTACAATTGTGTTGTTCCTTTTCACTTCTGAATAGAATTCTGTATTAAGCAGAATTCTGATATACTATGGTGTGTGTATGAAGTTTTAGATAACGATTGACTTATGTGTGATGAAGTTTGAATTCTGCTGGATGTACTAGAATTCTATGGAGATTCTAGTAAAATTCCGCTGTATTTTTTAAATTTTAACCAGAATTTTGTTTTATCGAAGGGGAGTCCATATTATATATGGTAATATAGAATTCTGTTGTGGGTAGGTGTGAGTGGGTGTGGGTGTGGGTGTTGGTAGTAGTTCTATCATTCACTGACACCCGCATCCACACCCACACGCACACATCCACACCCACTCACACCCACCCACACCCACACCCATTTCAACCAATCAGATTTTTTCGGGCTAGGAGTTCAGCTAATCAGATGATTTTGGGGTGCGAAATTCTGCCAATCAGGTGATTTTTGGGTGGAGACTTCGGCCAATCGTATAATACAGTCGAGGATCAAGCGAGTCGAAGCGGTGAGCGTTACTTGTTAGAAAATCTTTTGAAAAAAATCGTATTAGTCGATTTCGAAAAATTTATCATTACATTAGTATTATTATAAGGAAAGATGTTATTTAATAATATAACATTTGAAAGGCCTTCACGAGTACTTGAAGCTGATATAGAAATATAATAATTAAACAATGTTCTATGTGTCCATATAAACGAATTATGTTGCGTTCCAAGACTTATGAAACATCTTGTATGAATGTTTACCAAATTCTAAGTTTCTGCGTGCGACAATATGTTGGCAGAGAAACAAAATGAATTCTGCGTAGAAATGGGTCACCTGCACGTTTATGTGCTGGCATGTAGACGTAGACATTCTGAAATTTATTCTCCACATTACATATCAATGCAAGTTTATGCGTTTACTCGCATTCTAAATCCTTGCATGGCGGTTCCATGGTTTTGTGTCCGAACTCTTATGAGTCGAAAGCGGTTACGAGTAAATGCATGTTTCAGAGAAAAATCTGACAACTAGCGCTTAGATGCTCGTGATTTATGTTATAAAATACACTCTTCTTCAAGGCAAAACATTCATTGTATATATTTTGGAAAAAAAATGCACAAAAATCACACACAACAAAAAAAACAAAATATATATATATCCACCTCTCATGTATCGCATGTCAACCATGCTCTCTTACTCAGAGAGTGACTCATGTGAAGAGAGGCGGAAAAAAGAGGGGGAGAAAAGAACAAGAATAAGAAAAAAAAAGAAGCAAAGAATGCAACGAAGAGTATTTAGAAGTTCATCTAGAACATTTATCATGGCCATCGGCCATGACACCTCCCCCCATCAAGCGAGCAGTGAACATGGTAAGCAAGCAAAATTTAAAGTAATGGAAAAGTTGAATAAAATGTGCGAGAGTGTAACAAGTTGTTATGATGGATGAAGTGGGAGATTATGTGATGGTATAGGGAGAACTAGATTGACGATTAGGAGGTGCAGGTGTAGTACGACGAAGAAGTTGCATTAAAAGACGACGATAGATACAGATAATTGTAACGCCACAACAAAAGAGGAGACAAGCACCAATGACTGTGACGAGAAGAAAAATAATGGAATAGTCGCGCCAGGTATGTTGAAATTGTTGGGCATGAGAATCGAGAGAAGCCGTGAGGTAATATATAACATCGACATGTACGTTCGAAGATGGTGAAAGAAGTTTCGTGTTGATGAGAGCTGCAAGGATGTTGACCGGATAAAGCAGCATAAGCAGCGTAGAAAGAACAACAATAGCCATTATGACCGGATGAAAAAAAGTGTATTTTTTGTTGAGTGACGAATAAATTGAATGATGTGTGAGCGAAAGAAAAGAACAACGAATGTTATTGAGAGAGAAGATAAAAGGTGAAAAAGAATGCATAATGCCAGGAGAGAAGAGTCGTATGATGATACAGATAAGTGAGGAATGAAGTACGATATTGAGAACTAAGGAGATAGAATAATCCAGAAGGATGAGAGTAAAAATAAAAAATATGTATAAAAGACGTGCGGGTTGCCACTACCCGTATCAGTACACTAGAAGAAGAGTGTAAAAAGTTAACAAGAGTAAGCATGAAGATACGAATAATAAATCAGTAATAGTGATGACGTTCGATGACAGGATATAACTGGTTAACGTGATACCAATCGGTACGACCAGTAAGATTATCTTTAACAAGATAGTGTTGCTGACCGGAAGTTTGGATTACAATAAAGGGTCCAAGCCGACGAGCGTCCAGTTTAGTACGATCGGTAGATACTTGAACATAAACAAGATCACCAACGCGATAGACAGGATCACGACGATTTTGGTTATATCGTCGTGCCCAGTATGACTGATGATGTAGGATGTTTGTACGAGCTTTAGCGGTAATGAGACGACGAGTGCGTTGTAAATAAGGATAAAAGATGTGAGCGTGAGGCAGGTTAAGGATAGGTGATGTTGAATCAAAGGGACTTTTAGGAGAACGTGCAAAAGCAAGTTCGTAAGGAGTGAATTTGGTGATGGAATGAATACTGGTGTTGTATGCATAGACAATAGAAGGAAGATAAAGATCCCAGTCTGATTGGTCCGGATCACAATATTTTGCAAGCTGGGCGGTGAAAGTAGCGTTGACCCGCTCTACTTGTCCGTTAGTTTGGGGATGATAAGAGACAGAGAATGCATGAGCTATGTTCATGGAAGAAGTGATTGCACGAACAACATGGTTGTTAAAATGGGTCCCATTATCAGTGATAAGGCGTTCAGGAGCACCATGGTGGAGAATAAATCGTTCAATAAAAAATTGAGCAGCGGATTTTGCAGTACAGTCAGGTAGTGCATCAGCAATAACGTACTTAGATAAATTATCCGTGAGAATGATGACATAGCGATTCCCACGAGTAGAAGCTGTTCGGACAGGACCCCGAAAATCCATGTGAAGGACTTGAAATACGTCGGAGGGAGGTTAAATAGATTTAAGATGACCTGGTGACTTAGTACGAAGTAAATTATGTCGAGCGCATTGAGTACATGAAGCAATATAATTGTGAATAGATGCACGCATATTAGGCCATCAGAAGCGATCACAAATACGAGAGAGAGTACGGTGTACACCAAAATGTCCACTTAGAGGATGATCGTGATAGGTACGGAGTACTAAGGAAATAAGGGATTTTGGAAGGTAAGGAACATGGGAGGAATGAGTGGTATCCAAGCCAGAAACGATACGGAAGACAATGCCATCCTTTAAAATAAAATGAGAATGCCAGTTGTTTTTACGGAGCTGTTGAATAAGATGTAAGATCTGTGGATCAGAATGCTGTTCAGTTTTGATGCGAGTGAGACTAAGATCGATCGGAGAATTATTAGAAGAAAAGGATGTAGTGGTAGTAGGAGAAGAAGTCGGAACAGCAGTACCAGTAAGAGCATCAAAATAGTCGTCAGCATCATTGTCATTAGATAAACGATTAGGAGATTGCGGACGAGAGACGGCACGAGACTTGGATCGAGTGACGACTGGGGAGAGAACAATTGGATCCCATGTTTCAGTACCAGATGACCAATATGAATCAGATGGATGAGAACGAATGGATGAAGTACGTTGGGGTAGCGGACGTGAAGAATTGGAAGAAGAACCAGGAAGATAGAGAGAAGAAGGAATAGTAGATAAAGAGGAGTCCAATGGTTCATAGCGAGTTAAAAAATCAGGACCAGCATTATCAACACCTTTACGATATTTTATTGCAAGAATTTGAGGCAAAAGATCTTGTAATTTTAAAAGCCAATTATCAATACGTTTATTGCCAAATGAATGCTTTTTATGCACGTTGGCAAGTGGTTTGTGATCGATTTCAATAAGGATAGAGGAGTTGCCAATGCATGAAAGTAATTGATCTAGACACCAACATATAGCAAGTGCTTCACGTTCTGTAGCGGAGTATCGACGTTCGATATCAGCAAGCAACCGAGATTTATAATAACAGGTCTTGAGACCAGTTGAAGTTTGTTGCTTTAAAACACCAGCAATAAGAGTAAGACTAGCATCGGTAGATAAAATAAAGGGTACCAAAGGATCAGGAAAATGAAGAAAAAGCGGAGCAGTAGTGAGAATTTTCTTGAATTCTTCAAAAGCAGCTTGTTGTTCAGGATGCCAATAAAATTCATGTCGTTTAGTACGAGTTTTATTGGTAACTTTATGTAAAGGTGCGGCAATGCGGGCAAAAAAAAAAGGTATAAATTTGCGATAGTATCCAAGTTTACCAAGAAAACGATTCGCTTGTGACAAAGTAGAAGGTGGTGGAATATCAAGTATAGCTTGTAGTTTTTCTGAAGATGGTTCAACAGTAGTAGGTGTAATGATGTGACCGAGAAATTCAATTTTTTGAACAGCGATTGTACATTTGGAAGGAGAAACTTTAAAATGAGCGGCATCAAGGATAGATAAAATTTCGTTGACGTGACGTTTATGGTCTTCTAGAGAATGAGAAAAAATGACGATATCATCAAGATAAATTACTATGTAATCCCAACGACCAGTTGCTATTAGATTATTCATGACGCGTTGGAAGCTAGCAGGAGCATTCATGAGACCTTGAGCTAGTACATTGAATTCATAATGTCCATCAGGAGTGGCAAAAGCAGTTTTCTCTTTATCAGATTCGGCAATAGGGATTTGGAAGTAACCACTCTTCAAATCGAGTTTAGTGAAATAACTATGCCCAGAGATACGATAAATTAGTTCCTCAGCAGTAGGTTGTGGATAAGCATCTTTATCGGTTATCGAATTAAGTCGACGAAAATCTACTAGAAATCGATAGGTACCATCAGGCTTCTTCTTCAGGACGACAGGAGAAGACCATGGAGAAGTGGAAGGACGAATTATATTGTCCAAGAGCAGTTTGTCGACTTCAGTCTGAAGTTCTTTACGTTGTGCAACAGTACGATAATAAGGGCGGATAGTGATAGGTGGATGATCGCCGGTAACGATGACGTGAGGAAGGTGAGTTTTAGCAATACTATGTTTAGATGAGTCAAATACACGAGAATGCTGCCGAAGAATAGTCAAAAAATCAAGTTTCTCTTTATCGTCAAGGATATGACATAGTAAATTTTGAAGAATCGAATCAAGATCGGAAGTAATGGGAGTAGAAGACGGTTGAATAGAAGACAATAATGGTATACCATGAAATGATAAATCTTTTGAGGAAGAGAGTGAAGTAAGTTTTATGGGGGTAGGAAAGGAACCCAGAGCGAGCATTACAGCGACCGTAAACGGCCATAAACCAGCCGTATTTCCATGTACCGTATTACGGCCGTATACGACACGGCGAAATACGGCCGTAATACGGTACATGGAAATACGGCGGTATACGGCGCCGTAAACGGCTGTATACGGTCGTCATAATGCTCGAGCTGGGTTATCGAGGGTGCTCTATCGATTGATGGATATATGTGTGGGTTTCTTCCAGTTCCCTCATCGAGATTGACAAATCAGGGTGTCGTGGACCAGTTGAAACCGGCTAATCATGTTTAAGAGGCACTTTTCTCGCTTATTGTGGACACAAGTGATAGCGATGGTCGGGCGTATCCTAGGGTTCTTGGAAACGGTCTATCGATCGATTGCCGTATGTGTGAGTGCTGGCGTAACTCTCCATGGATAGATCGTTTCTGATGAAATATAATAACAAATAGTGATTCTATATCGAACGAATTACAATAAACAAAGACGGTACGTCGCGATATTATGGGATGAACGTATACAGTCGGCATATTGTTACAGAAGTCGTATACGGTGACTGTTTATGGCAATTGTTTACATCGGCCGTAAATCATCATAAAATGTCGTCTACTATCGCCGTAAGCGACTAGCGTATACTGCTCCCGTACACTGTGTTTTACGACATTTAATAATACCAGCGTGTACAGTCGCCGTTTTACCACGCTGGTCGTTTCCGATGATATTTTACGGTTAATGTTTACAATCGCCGTAGTATGCCGTAAAGCATCATATACGACTGTTGTAAATAATCACCGGAAACGGCTGACGTATACGATGCCTTACGTTATTTTCCGACCAGAGTATATGCTCACCGTATTGTTACGTTAGTAGTTTACAATGAACTTTTACGGGCACTGTGTACAATTGCGGTAATATGCTGTAAATCGTCGTTTACTGGTGCCGTGTATGACTAACGTAAACAGTTGCCGTTTTTCGCCGTATTTGGTTAGTGAACGGCCGTTTACTGCCGAGCGTGATTGACCTGGGAAGGGAAAAAAGTAATGTGACCGAGAATTGTATGTGCCCGTAATGTACATGGAGTGTTAACCGAATTATGAATGAGCATATAAGTATGAAGACGATTTATTTTTAAAATAGCGTCCGAGATAACAAGTTGCTTTTCCGTACATAAAACACGATCGGGTGTATAAGAAACAGATAAAGCAGATGATACAAGTGCATATAAGGAAACGATATGTTCATGATGCGGAGCAAGTTGAATAGATTGAGCAAGACGAATGGGTACGGAAACAGTATCTAAA